GGATTTTTTGAAATATTTGAAATAATTTAAGCGTGATATTCCCCTAGCCTTTGATATGAATTTCGACGATATGCATCTGCCTCTCTTGAATTTCATAAGTGAGCAGAAACAATTAACATCAATAGAATTGTATGGACCTGTTATGGGAAACCTTGATCGTTTATTTGAATCGGAACATGTGTCATCAAATGTTGTGGAGTTAAGCATTTTACAATATCAGTATCGCAGAGAATCATCATTGTACGGCAACGTGTGCAGCGTGCTCCGTTTTTTGGAACGTAGTCGATCTCTAGAAAAACTTGTAATAAAAGGATACACTGAGTGGAATCCACCGTATCAAAGCCACCTAGAATTCCCAGGACATTTGGATGCAATTGCATCACATAATATTAAATACAGAATCATCTCTGATCAAGTAATAACCTGCAAATGCAGTTGGTGTACACAGCAAAAGTATATGCATAAGAAAAAATCTATGGAGCTTACAGTTAAGAAAACAGCAGAATCTAACTTTATGAAATATATTTGTACGTTCAGAGATGAACGAAACGTAAATACAGATGGAAGCTATTATACATCGAGCAAAAATTTCACTGTACTCGAATGCTCAAAAAGTAAAAATTAACCTTAACTAAGTCAATACAGCTAGTTTTTCCACATTCTGTAATTAATGCGCTGAATAATTTAACTAAACATAGGATTAGATTATTACAATATTTCCGTAAAAATATTCAAATAAAAACGATTTTACAAGTTACTTGATGTGAACCATACTTAAGACGAAGCAAATGACACATTCGTGTTGGTTGACCTTAACCAAAACGAGATATTATTATACTTAACCTCAATTCTAGTAAAATTTTCTCCGTGTCAGACGTCTCAGCTGAATATGGAAGTTTTTATAAAGGAAAAAAAAGATTTTGTATTTAATTAATATAAATTTTTAATTGTAGTTAGGAATAGTCGATGTGCATGCCCTTTTCAAAGGCAAAGGCTCTTTGAATGTTCGTGGCGCGTCTATTGTGATTAGGTAAAAATTGAAAAACACTTAAAAATATCAACAATATCAATTCATCTCAAATATTACAGAACAATCGCAAGTGATGAATTGGCTTACATGGACTATTCATCCGAAGGTGCCACTGAAATAACCTCATCAGATGCCCGAAACATGTAAATTTTCTCCCGAAATTTATGTGTTATGATTTGAATTAATTGCATATAATCCATCTATTCCAGGTTGTTTGAGCCAATCGTAATCCCGTTCAATGAATGGAGGGATGCTAAAATAAAAACTACTATGCATATTCAAACTATTGACATTCTAGCGGCTGGCGAAATTTGCCAAGGAGACAGATTTTCATTCAGTGGATACACGTCGCTCGAGGTAAGGAAATTTTTTGTATGCTCAATTATTCGCAGCTGATTGCTTCGTTCGTCCGCAGCTATTGAAAGATTGGGTCACAACTGTTTTTATTCATTCAACAATACTGTGTCTATTCCGGTTATACCGAATGCTGTTGATGACACCCTGAAACAGTTAATTTTGAAGATATGTGGATACAAAAAACCATTATATCCGGCTGTGATTGTGAAAGGACGTGGTCTGTTTATTTGGGGCGATGGTCTAGAACAAACTATGCGCGCGTAAGTATAAGGTTAAGGCATAATACTGCGATAACAAGTACATTCAAATAATTTGTCTGTTCCTATTGTGAATTAGTTGTGAGGCCATCGTCACCATGCTTAGCACAAGTTGAAGGCAAGAGCATCCCGTTGAACTGCCGTCCATTGAAATCATTTGCTGATACTCAATCGAAACTTCCATCGAGGAAATTTTAATATCATTTAAAAACAAACAAAAATCCATTCCATCGCACAAACTGTTGATTTCAATTCTTAAACACATATCGAATAAAGCTAAAACAGCTAATTGTTACTAAAAATTCGTCTTTGTTAATTCAACGATTGAGTGTTTCTTCAAAGAGCATTGATCGCATCGAAATACGCCTCATTCGAATCGGCACAATTCCTAAAAGAAATTTTTTCCCATCGATGATTATTTCAGTTGCCGATATCACAGCTGATGCTCGTCAGCTTGAGCTTCACAAAGAAAGTCAATAAGTGCATATTCATTGGATGATAATGTTTATTTATTTCATCAAAAAGAAATGTATTGACGCTAGCTTATTACAAATTGTGTATTTTAATACGATAATTTGGAGATGGCAAATCTATTCAGTCGATCGATGTGTGCAGTTTGGATTGGTGCAAACGTAGTACAACCTCATTTCTTCTTCACCGCGCCGTGTCTGGGCTTGGAAAAACACCGCTTCTCGATGACCGCAATTTTGACAATCATGATCTTCAGTCCGCGGCAATGTTGGATCCGATATGACGTCCGGCACGATGTGTGTCAATTCACTGGGAAAATGATTCAATAGGGTGATTAAAATCAGCGCCTATTTTCATCTTTTCTCAATCAAAAATCAAGCATTTGCATAAAACTAGCTTACTCAAACAAGATGTCGCTACTGGTATATATTTATTATTTTATATATATATATAATATATATTTATATTATGACATTTGAGAAGAGTAATATGCCAATATGTCAAACAAAGCATGTGAAATTTAAAAAATGCATTCCACTTTCAAAAAATGGTACAATAATTAAGGAAAGTATTCCGATCAATATTCAAGCCAATTTCATTCTCAAATAGTAAAAACAATTCACTTCACGTTGCTTAGGGATAATTTTTTATTTGATCATCTGTTATTACTGCGACTACAGTCATTACTCTCATATGATAAACGTCAAATTTTGCATAAACAAACGCTCATGCATTATAAACAAAATATCAACTTTGGATTACTTCGTTTGAAATCGTTCTGTTCAATTCCAACTTTATATAATTGATTCCAGAAACTCATGTCTTTGGCCATTGAAAACTCTAAAATAACACTGAAATATAAAGAATTTTAAAATCCATCCAGAGTGCGCAGGTCCAATATGGCATTATTGAGTGTAATTTCCGAAAATAGACACACAAATGAAATAAATTGAAAACAAAACTATATATTGATATGTATATATACACATATATTTTCATGTTCACGTAGTCAAGGCGACAAGACCTTAGCAACCAAGACAACAATTCCGAAAACTACAATATTTGTGCATTTGTGCATTTGGAAACGAAAATGGAAATAATTACAATTTATATCTTAATAAGCAAAATATTTGTGCAAAAGAAACTGACGTAAAATGGTTTAAGTTGAATGTTCGTCGATACTAATAAATGTCATCCGATGAAATAAAAGGGAGGCCGATTTCATAGTGTAAACAATTGAAACAAACAGAATCAAATTGACTGATGTCATGGTGAAGTAAGATGAAAAGTATTCGTTTTTCTTCGAAAAATAACTAGATTTGGATCCCAAGCACGTCGGTTTTCACTGGTGTTTAATAATGCAGGTAATATATTCAAATACATTTATGGTGAAAATTGCTTTGCTCGTTTTGACCGGTGATTCGAAAAACCTTTCTTTCCATTCATTTCCATCCATCTGAAGTACAATGTAAACAGTTTCTAAAAGCAATCAAAATGTACTGCAATGTCTAATAATGTCCGAAATAATTTTAGAATTTGAGTGGTAATTTTATATATACAATTTTAAAATATGTTGAATCTATATTATTTTAATTATTTATTTATTTATTGACACCGCCATGTACAAGCTGAATATTTTAGTTTCAATCGGCCATTGCTAAAAACTTAGTTTTTGCCAAAAAATGTTATCGGTTTGATTCTATTTTCTGATAACCGCTGATTGTACACGGTACAGGGACTTTTCCGCTCCGCTCGCACCCTGGTGCAGCAAAATTTGAATCAAAGTCGATGCAGCCAATCAAATATCCATCTCTTCTAGTGATTAATTTATATTTGACAATTGATCCTTTATTGTTGATAAGTCCCCAGAGTTATCCATTGAAATATCATAAAAATTGCTTCATTCATTTATTTCCGGAAGCGCGCGTGACATTTTTTCAGTTATTATTTATTCAAATCGATGGAGCGAAGAAAAAGCACGAGAGCAGTGTTCTTGTGTTGCATCGGCAGTACAAAATTCATATCATGGAAATGCTAAATTGCATCATTTTACACTAATCAACGGTGTTTTTGCGCGAGCAAAACGGACCATACTACGTTGTAGAGGACCTTCCCCTGATCTCAAAACCATATTCCGTTTATCTGGGTTACGGTACGACTTAGTGCATTTTGGTTTTATGTAGGTTTTTTCTGAAAATCGACGTTCTCTGTACACATCGGAGGCTGTAACTTTTTTCTTAAACTAGCTAGCACCAAAAATAAAATGGTTCTGAATAGTGGAAGGAAATAACTTTCAAACGCGCTATAGACCATTAGATTCAGTGCAGTGGTTAGAATTTTAAAAACGATAAATGTGAGGTGTGAACGTTGAAACTAGCCGACTTCATCACCTGCCGAATTGAATATACTCAAAATTGCGAATGATTTTTGCCAGTTTCAAATTTTTAATCGTAAAGAGCATTGAATTTAGATAAATTTTGCCATAGTCAGATCTATCGTATGACCAATAATAAGAAAGTCACAACTGTACATAGGCGTTGACGAACGGTAAAAATCAAGAAAAATCAAAATTAAATGCAAGCCAATAACCATTTTCCGAATATCCAGTGATCATGAAACTTTGGGAATCTAATTTTTTCATCAATAACCGATGCCAAGCTAAATTTGAAGTCAATCTGATGGAAAATTAGGGTACCTCCCATACAAAAGTTTCGAATTTCATCTCTGAAATAGCAAAATTTGTATGGGAGGTACCTTTATTTCTTAACCGATTGGCTTCATATTTTACGAGTCTCAGTTTTTGGACAAAAAATGAACGCTCAC